AACAGTGGCAGTTTCACCCTTAGCTAATTCCACCTCAATGTCATGAGTAAGGCAGGCTGTAAGGTCTACACTTGAACGGAATGGTAATGCTCCGAATTGTTGTCGGGCGAGTACTTTGTACTTAATAGCTATCCACGACATTCGTTTTGCTTCTAAACTCTCAAGCACTTTTCCCAGCACAGATAGGAGTGTAATAGTGTTAAGGGCGAAGAGGGTTACGGACACCGCACGTAAACAGTACCACAAAGAATTAATATTTTTCTATAGAGATTAGCTATAGGAAATCTGTTACATTAAATATGCCCTCTGCGGCTACCAGTGATCTTGATTCCTGACACGTAATCCTTCGCTACTGAGTGATCTGTTCCACAGCCTCAGCATAATTAACTGAGTGACTCGAGTCGCGAGAAACGACCCCACGTTTGATCACGTAATTGAAGTTCTTGAACGAGGCTGGGCCTGAAAGATAGCCCGGCCTAATCGAACAGGGCATAGCCCGTAACAAATAAGACGATAAGATCTTGAAAAGCTCATGTCAAGCTTATTTGATTTTCCAATCATGGCTACGATTGCCGTCCGAAAAGTTCTAGAGTAAAGTCCAGTGTCTATACATACTAGAAGTAGTTCTAGAACTAATTCTGAAAGCAGGGGCCAGGCTAGGCGTAAAACTGCTGATAGTATATGATATTTACCCCGCGTAGTATCACAGGCTCCGAGTATAGCGTTTGTGATCTTAGGAGTGGTGAGATTGGGGAAATGGAGGTACATTATTGGGTTAGAAGGTATAGGTGTGTGTATGTCTTCGACTTCTGCTAGATAACTCAAGAGATGTCTAGCCAGTAAATCTCTCTTTTCCTCAGTTGTCGTGGCCGGTGGTGAGCCTAGAAAATGAGGATCTGTAAGGGGGGGTTCGGAAATCCCACCTTGACTTATGCCATTTTGTTGTACAGAAGACATCTTTTGGATTTAAAGCTTGATCGACAGCTTTCTGAAAGAAAAGAGAATTTGCCTGATGTATAGCCTTGCGAAAAGCTTTCCTGTCTTCTTCGTAGCATTTAGATATCAAAAATTTCCCTCTATCTCTTTCTTGCTTCTGTGCAGCTCTGATTCCACCACGTTTATCCTCTATTATATGGTAGGGATAGTTTAGCTGAGCCTGAAAAATATTTGTAGAGTCTTTTAATGAGATCCTCTGCCCTCTCGTCCAGAGTATCGCGGGATTTCTCGGAGAGTAGGAAAAAGTTATCTAGGTAACTGTGTAGTAATGAGAGAATAGTATCCTGCTGGATCGTTGCAAAACGGGGTCTAGGAGAAGAAGGAATCTTCATAATTGGCAGGATATTCTTATGAGAAGAGGTGATTGTTCGGAACTAACATCTAACTCCTGTTGTACTATTTCTTGTTCACCTCCTATTAACACTGAGCTAGAACATTTCCAAGATTGTGGATTGGAACATCAACTTCGGACAACAGGGAGAGATTATCATCTTCGAGACAGCGAATTAAATCCGATACTTATGTTGTAGGAGAGTCTTTGTATGACGGGTTCCAGTTCGGGTTATGGATATTGAAGTCTCCAGTTAGGATAATTTTTGGATTTAAATGAATATTTGTGAGTGAGAAGAGAAAAAATACCCCAGCTCCCGGATTTGAAGCTCCAGGAGGGGCATTGTAGATATTTATTAATTGTAAGGAAAAATCTTCAGGACCTTTTATTGTGAAGAACAGAATATCCCCTCTTCCATATTCTGAACTGGAATTAGGGCGATCTTGAGTGAAAGTAAGATTATTTTCTTTCCTTGCGTAAATTAATACACGAGGTCGGATATTCTAATTATCGACTGGAGAAAAGCATTCAAACGAGGGGTGCTTGCAAGTGATTCTACGCTCGATATTTTTGGAGATGTGAGGCTCTTGAACCAGAAAGATATCTATATGAGAATTAAATATAATTTAGAGAGCAATGAGGTGCGCGTTAGAAGAGCGGCCAACATTAATTGAGAGTGTTTTTATAGTAGAAGTTCTAGTCTTCATATATAACGTTTGAGTTTTCTTGATGGCTATCTGAAGCCAAAATCGCATATCTTTCACCCATTATTAATAATGTGTCCGTAAAAGGGCTTCTAGTATTGGATGGGGTCTGGGGACGAGCTGGGTTACATCGGTATTTGCTGGAATAGTTGTCTCAGTTTGATTTCCGGAGGTTACACAGCGAGCTGCTTTCAATCGGAGCCTAGCAGCAGCAGCTGGCCTTCTAATCTATGAGGTTTGTACCTTTTATGATAACGAATTACCTTTTCTAGGTCGAACAAGGCATTCTGTGGAGTCACCTCGGTGGGGACCGTAACAGTTTACGCATTTTAGCGAGCATAGGTGGTCTCTGGCGGGGTCACATGATAAATGCCCACTTTCAAGGTGTTTTGTTGAGGAGCAGATTCTGCATCGAGGGAAACGGGTACATGCTCGCTCGTTATGCCAGCCAAAACTTTTCCACATTGCGGTGTCCTGAGTCTTGGTGGCAGACACTTTACTAGTACACGTACCCCAAATAGTGGGAGGACCTTTGATAGGGATGATCCTTTAGGATAGGACAATCCAGTTACTATTAAGAGAAAAGTCAGAGTAATCAGAGCCGCGGGACCCGAGGATATTTACAAGGGCCATGTTTATGAGATCTTTCAGAGCTTCTCCAACTACTGATGCGGTTATATCTTTCATAACTACAGCACTTCCTTCAAAAACAGCATAGGTGCGTAGTATCCCAGAGAGCCGGTATGCTACATGTTGGCCCGGATTTTTAACCTTGTATTGGCCTTGGGACGAAAGGGAGGTTTCAATATCACCCATCCGGACCAACAGTTTTTCTTGAGTTTCTGTTGAAACTAGGCATATAGCAAATCCAGTTTTCGTGGTCTATATCTCACGTACAAGCTTTCTTGTAAGGATGCGTTTGATTGTAGCATTATGGCATATGGCGGTGTATCTAGAGCTGGGTGGCCAGGTCTGACCCGAACTAATAGTTGTTGCGAAACCAACCTAGACACTTCCCGTGCTTGTGGTTTCAGTATGTGTCCATCAAGATTTTCGGGTGTTGCCTATCCGCTACTAGTTATACCATCATCTTTTGTTACCTGTAGTTTGTCCCGTTATATCCCTTAGTGAGGCATTATACTCTAGCCCATGTCATTGCCAGACATCAATGTATATAGACAGTCTCATCCTTTAGTAAAGATCAAGAGTTTCGATCAAGCCTTTACTATAAACATAATTCACATCTATGGATACCCTTTGAAGTATATGCTTCGTTATTTCTCCATGATCACTCGAAGAGTTCTGCATATTCTAAGTTTAATTTCAACAATAGTCGATTGTCCTCCGGCTGAATTTTTAGCTGAATCTTGGGTTCCGATTGTACTTGGAGCGCTGCTAATCTTGAGCCGGCCTGTGGGCGCTGATTTCTAGTAGTGGTCGAAGCTTTGTCGGCATATGTTTTTGGAAGCATTGTCTATGTATCATTTATGCTGACCTACTTTGGCTGTTGTACAACAAGGGCTTGTGTGCTTTTTGGGGAGCAATATAAAGTTTGAGGTCTTTGAGAACCTTTGACATGGCATTCGAAATTCAGACGTGCTACATAGCTGACATCGGCAATAAACTCACTGAATGGTTTTTGTAAGTGTTGTGGGATAGTACTCTTATCACTCAATGCGTCATATATGATGCATGCGATATTTTGAAACATGAGCGTGGCTTCATAGTGCCTTGTGTCTGCGGCAGAGGTAGTTGATAAAATTGTCCCAGTCAACGACTTCTCTCCACCCTGTTGGACAGAGGCGTGGGGGAGGGGAAGGAGGACGGAGGGGTAAATTAAGCATGAAGGGCAAAGTAAAGTTGTTGTCAAAGTGTTGCTAAGAGCGTGCTTTCTTTAGTTCGGGAATCCGAGTTTTATATCTGCTTACTATATGAGTGATCACATGGAAGACATGACGTTAGTTTCAAAACTTCTTGCACCAAATTATCAGATAGAACGTCGCTAGGTTCTCATAAGTATGTCTGCCTCCGTTAATAATTTTTATTTGTTTTATTCAAAGAATAGGATATCCTAGTTTATAAAAAGCTTTTTTTTCTGATATTGTATCCGTATATTTTCAATTTCTAAGAATTGAAATCAAGGTTTCTAGTTTTATCAGCTAACGTAGAGGATGCTGATTCTAAAGGTTACCAAGAGCTATAGAATTAGAGCCTGTTCTTTTGCAATAAAATTGCTTAGTATGTTATGAGAGAGTGCCTTCGTACAAGGGGAGAAGTGTGGATTCATTTGGCACGCGAGGAAGGTTATATCGATGGGAATTCGCCTGTATCTAGTCAGGGGTTGAGAGGAGATGAGGCTTTGGTTACGAGAAGTAAAATTACTATTTTACCAAAAAGACCGTCGAGGTCACAGTGGGAAACGTAAGGTAAGCTTTAGTCTAGATTTTTAGAAATGGCACAGACCTAGATCTGGGACTTATCCCGTTTAATCGGTATAATGGTTAGCTGATGTGACGCAAAGATGCAAGCCACTTTACAGGAATAGGCGCCAGTAATACGAAACTGAGCATAACCATATCTCGGTGATTAGGAATTTTAGGGGTGACTCTTTGCTTAATTTTTGTATCATCTATAACCGCTGAATCATCTTCAGTATAGGTAGATTCTTTAGCAGCATATTTTTATTTGCTCGTCGTTTTACGAAGCCCTTGCGCACAATGTACGGCCATCTATATTTTGGCAATCAAATTATTGATTGGTATTCTCACTATTTGATCCGTAACAGGACCCTTCCATATACTTTTGAATAACGCCTCCGGGAAAAGTATAGGAACTCTTGAGATATCTCAAACGCCAAATTTTTTAGTGGATAAAGTGACATCCAATGGTGTGAGGCACCAGTCCAGTAATACTCAGCTAACTTCCAGGGTATCAATCATCATAGTCATGTAGTAAACATCGTCCAGGTTTTATCCATGACTCTTTCGTTTAAGCGTCAGTAGAATAAACATGCCAACAACCATTAATATTAGAAGGAGAATGATACGCCGCCTGGTACCTTTTTTTTGGTAGCTACTGGCAGTCTTTACTTCTTTATCGGCAGCTTTTACATCAACCGCCATTTGTTCGACATTATAATCAATTCGATCTAGCATGGTTCCTTGATCTATAATCATAGTTTGAAGTTCCTTGAATATATCAGCTAATTCTATAATTCCTTGTGCGATATCACTGATTTCCCGTTCGCGCTGATTAATGGCGGTATCATTAGATATTGTTGTTTGCTGAAGTGCTGATTGCGAATAGAATTTATCTGCATCAGATTCTTGAGCTGAGCGGTCAGTGAGTGTATTCAGTGGTATGGTGGATCTATCAGATATTGGAATAGTTACTCCTGACATCCCACGTAATTCTACAATTGTTAGCGGGAATAATATACAGATTTATACTGGACAAACTTTTCAGATATGCACTCTGTTTCTTCCGGAAGTTTGCACTCGCCTCCTGTACTTTACCAGCGAGGGAGATCTGAATATTTTTGGCCATTACCTCTTCACCCCGACTCAAACCTCCTTGTGCTTTACCTTCTCTTACCAGTAAGTCTATCCTTTGTATGGCTTTCTGGCAATCATGAAATCCCTTTGTTATTTCTTGTGTTATTCGCTCAATTTGTATTTCTTCTTTCCTCTTTACCTCTTCATCATCAAATCCTGGCAAGACGTGCTTTTGGTGAAGGCTTTCCAACTTCTGGCATTTTGTTGAAATTCCTGCAAGGTATTCATCTACGTCTTCTGATATATCTGCCCAGCGTGGAGGTAAAAGATCCATTTCAATCAAAGCATCTCCATCATCCTCAAAAGCGCTGGCAGACATGAGACCTTGTCGCTCAGAAGGCGACGATACCGTATCGAATCCATTGTTGGGACGGGTAGTCTTAAGCTTTTTAGAAGGATGGTAAGCGTATGATTGCCGGTAAGATATGTAACTAGTTGAGGTTAGAGAGCTGAAAATTATCTACTTGTGAAATGTAGGTAAATATACAGGTTGGTACGATCTCGCCACATGATAGAAAATGCGAGCTTCCACTGCTCTGTGAGCTAAGGGTTATCTACCTTCAGCGATTTTTACAGCTTCAATATTTCCTGGTGTAACAGAAGATGAAAGCATGGCGCTGTGGTCTGATGTTATTAAAACTTATTCTACACCCATGAGCTTCGCATTTGTTACCGCGTTGTGGTTATCTGATTGTTCACTATGCGAACAGGCCACCGTATCGGCAAAATTGCTCATCACATTATATGTGCACCACTACCCTTGACCTCACTCCACATCCCGCTTTATAGATCCGGACAAGAAAACTATCAGAACACCATTCATTGCACCACTATATAATTGCCTATCTCTTATATTTACCACACTGATATAAAACTTTGCAGCCATGGTACGAGTCAAACTTAGCTACGCTCTCCTGCTGGGCTCAAATGGCTACACATCTTTAATGAGCAGTCGAATGAGACTGACTTGCGATTAGGCAGATTCACTGACAGAAGAACAAGTCTCTGAGTTTAAAGAAGCTTTTTCACTGTTTGTAAGCAGTCTACTAATTCCTCTCATACTTAATAAGGTCGCTAACACTGTTACGAATCAAAGGACAAAGATGGCGACGGTCAGTAACTCTATGCATTCTACTTCATCATTAGCTTTGAAAAATCGTACAAGATGATTCCTTTGTTATATCTCATATAACCTTTGGAAATAATTTGGAAAGACATAGTTAGTGACGCACGCTGATACGACTTTAGGACAAATAACTACCAAAGAACTGGGAACAGTCATGCGATCCCTAGGCCAAAACCCATCCGAATCAGAACTACAAGATATGATTAATGAGGTTGACGCTGATAATAATGGCACAATCGACTTTCCTGGTACATAGCTTCAATCTTTAGTGTTGGACCTTCTAACACTTACGAACTTTAGAGTTTCTGACTATGATGGCAAGAAAAATGAAAGATACAGATTCTGAAGAGGAAATACGAGAAGCCTTCAAGGTTTTCGATCGTGACAACAACGGATTTATCTCTGCTGCTGAGCTACGATACGTTATGACATCGATTGGTGAGAAATTAACAGATGATGAAGTTGATGAAATGATTCGGGAAGCCGATCAGGATGGCGACGGAAGAATCGATTGTAAAAATATCATTCTACCAAAAGTGATAGTAGCTGACACTTCCAGATAACGAATTTGTCCAACTCATGATGCAACGATAAGCTCCTAGCGATCAAAGCCTTGATGAACTCAGTACCTACACTAGTGGAAGTCGTCACTAAGTATCAGATAATTTAATAATTTAACTCAATTTTCTACTTGTACGAAACTAGCCCTCGGACACGAAATGCTTGTTACACTCTTAAAGTGTCCTTCATTATCCTGCATAGGCTCATGGACTTGCTAACTCGATACTGAGAAATTTGATGCGACTTATTGCAGTGTATCAGTCTTGGACAGGGGTGGCCAAACATAAAACGCAATAACGGGCTCTTAATATGCTTATTCAAAATCAGTAGTAGGTCTCTAAGCTGTTTGGATAGCAAAGGTCTATGAAAATTGTATCAAATCGTGCTACCAATCATTGTGAAATCAATGTTCACTACACCAGTAAACGAGTGAAAACTTTATTACGCCTCTTACGATACCTGGGATGCAACCCGATTTTCTAAAAGGTACTCAGCGATAGAATTACTGTAAACCTATGTCTTACAGATACCTAGAGAGAGATATTCTCAATCCTTGAAGTTTCGTCAACACATGGAATTGCAGACTAATATCAGATTATTATACTTGTAGATACATGTGAGATTACGTAGGATCCCACGTGCCCTCTAAAGAACCGGCTCTATACAGGTACCTAAAACATCATGAACACCACTAGAGCGAGTGCGGATGCATATTTCGATGGCCAAAGACAATGTGTCATATGTCCCGAGTGGTAGTATTATGTGCGGCATTATGAGGAGTCTTGTCACAAGTATCTTCGTCCAAACATGTAGCCGCTTACAACCACGCCCGGAATAAAGCTCTAGCCCTGGCGAGTTAGCTAAGTCAACCTCGTTAATTAGATTATGATATAGAACTTATTGTCTAGGTCAAGCCACGCAATTTATGCTATATTTCGATTTCCGAACTGGCCCTAGTCTAGCGAGGAGTTTCATGTAGCATCCGCCAAGATTTCGGATGCAGGGACATAGCATTGTGAAACGCTACGTCTCGCACTAGTTAACCCCCTTGCGTGATCAACCATTATTATCTACATGCCTCTACTGCAACACTCTTCAATTGTGGATATCAGCACAAAACCTGTTAAGCCTTTCAAGATTTTGGTGCGCGGTTGAAGAGCGGAGATTATCCTGTGATTAATCCTAGCCGACTAAATGACAATCTAGTCGTCGACCTGACAGCGTCGTCACTTAGGTCCAAGCGGATGTCCAAGGCTGTGGAGGGGCTTGATATGTATCTTCTACTGATATCTCATAGTTCGAGGCGTATGATAATTCAACATCTATAAGCGATGTCCTCTACCAACTTCCAGCTATTACTGTAGAAATAGTAGAGATGAGTGTGGGAAACAAAATCCTCACCTCGATGAGGCTTCCCAATCAATCTGGCGGTCTGTATCGTCTTCATCTCATAACACATAACCCTACCACCATTAACATGAAACTAACCACGATCAGATCAGTTGGTAGGGTGAAAGCTCTTCTTGTCACTAACCCTTCTTCATAGATTAAAAGCTATCTCTTATGATTACGAGCGTGCGGATGATATCTTAATAGACAAAAATGAGTGAGTAACGCCGTACGAGGAGAAAAATTATGTGAGCTTGGAGTAATATACCTGTGAGTCCAGATTTAGTATCTATCTCATTGGATATGTGGATTCTACACACTCTATATACATGGTTCGCCTGAAAAGACGAAATTTTCACCTTCCAGTGGTGCCGGTGTAATCGCTCAGTATGCTCTGCATATTTGGGATAGCCAAGAAGAATTGCATCCGAAACGAAGTCGAAAGCAAACACACGCATATCTCCATTTTACGACTTATCAATCATGCAGCACTCATCAATATCTTCTGAGTCCTCAACCTCTTTCTAACCACATATCATCTCGCCTCGACGACCGATAAACGCGTTACCCCAATTGCAAACAGGAGCTTTTCTTGGCACAAACATTGGCACTCAGAAATTCTCCGAGAAGAGGAAGGAAAGAAAGCTAGAGGTCTCGGAAAATATTACAGGATACAGGCAAGAAAGCAGACACCAAATTTCAGCATGAAACCTATTAATTTAGAAGCTTACAGCCGAGCAACCCAGTCAGCATACTTTCAATTCAGATTTGGTATTGGAAACATTCTGACACACCTCAAAAAAATTGGAAAAGCAGACAGTACCATTTGTAATTTCTGTGGTAAAGAGAAGCAAACCTGCCACCACCTTATATTTCAGTGCCCAAAATTCAAAGCCCAAAGAAAAGAAGAGCTCTCAGATGTTGTGCCACGCAGCCTCAGTTTGCTATTAAATACCAAGGGTGGGAGAGAAAAGCTACTAAAATTTATTAAATCAAGTAACTGTATTAATTTAACGAAAATAGGGGACAGCTTAATTTCATGTAGGAATACACAAGATGGTGTGCCTAGAATGAAGTAACATAATTTGCACAAATGGATATAAAATGAATAAAAAATTTAAGAAAAATGTACCTGATGAAGGACAGTTGTAATTTAGAACATTTAATTAGATAGAAGTGTCATAGCTCTAGAGCTGCATACACAATGAAAAAAAAAAACAGGAGCTTGCCTCATTTATTACCGGCCATCACTCACTACAAAATTACTACGCCATGTTTACCTGCAAGGAGGAAATTAAGTCATGATATACAAAGTTAGGGTCGTGGTTTATGGGGGACTGATACTCTAGTAAGGTTATACATCTTGAGAAGGGACAGGTGGCTGAGATATGGAACGAGAGGGGGAACAGGTCTCTGAAGATCATGCTGGGACTGACATTTTCGAGGGTTTTTCAACTTGGATTGTTTTTGGGCGCCGAGACCAAAATTTCAGTTAATTAGCTAGGAGAACTTCTATTGTCGATGAGTCAACCACACTCCTCAGAGCCCTGTATGGCACAAAAGAATTTGAGCTAAGCTACCACATAACAATCACGCTCTATTAAGATATTCCTGATATTTCTACTCGGTCTTCCAGGATGACTCGAGAGGAGACTTATACGCAGGGTGTGGCTTTCTTGGGTACACACAAGTCTGCAGTGCCCAGCTGGCCGCCCTCTTTGAACGCTTCGGAAGTGTAGCTGATCCTTTGAATTTAGTCCTAATATCGGTATTACAAGAGCCCCCCACTCAGTGGTTTATGCGATTTTCCTGGCTACCATACACCCGCAAATGGCCATCGTTTCATTGGCTAGAGAGGGGAGATAATGGAGGGCAAAGGGCTCCTCTTAGTTTGTGATCGAATGAGGACTTGTGAGGGGTGGTACTGTTTGAGGGGAGCTGTATGGGAGTCATAAGAGAGTATATACCACTGGCATAGGTATCCTTGGCTTGTAGGCAGAGAGAACCTGCATGCCATTTATAGCCCATGACACAGGAAGCGGAGGGCAAGACTGAACACCTGTACGTGGTGCCTTCTACGAACCTGGGAGTGAAATATTCTCCCAGAATCAAGTTCAGTCAAATTTCGCAACATCGAACAAGTTGGCCCACGAGGCAATGATTCAAAATACTCGGCCATGCCAAATTTTTACTCCCAACGAGATCGGCTCCTACCTAAGTCTCATTAGGATTTTAAGTATGACCAAATACATCTTCACTCCAATTTTCACACCTCTTGTCGAATTTCTCTGGCCTCATCCGGCCGTCAAATACACGCACACGCTGATAATTATATCCAACGGAGGACGAAAAGCGTGTTGCACAAATTTGGGAGACAGCTCTTTGGTATGGACGTGAGAGGTCTGAGGATAAGTTTACAAAATGGCACGGAGCATGGATACAATCTCGACGAGCGTGTAATTTTAAATTTTGGCAGAAGTTTTTATAAATTGATTTTCGTGCGTGCCAAAGCTACGGTTGTAATACTACAGGCGGCACTTGAAACACTGCCAGAGTTGGATGGTGCGGTGGCACATCATCTGGCCCTCCTCCCAAGTAAGGTCTGGATAGCTTGGACATATATCCCACTCGAGACAGTAGATGCCTGGTTCAAATCCGGCAAAACACAACCACTTTTCTCGCTGGGCTGATATGCATGAATGACGAAGGCATGTTTGGATATTCAAAAGCTTTGAAATTCCCTTTGGTGGGTACTCACAGAGGAGGGTCGACTGTCCGTGTAAGCAAACAAACCTCATAGTGATATTTGCGAATGAAATCCAGAGTATGAGTGTCTCTAACGTCAAAAGATTCATCCTACATATAAAAATATCACCGGTCATGTGTCATAGCTCATTATCTGCACACACATTAAATGATTAAAAAAAATCGCTGGAAGGAAATTTAGTAAATTAATAACCATAATAGATTGTTGTACCAAATTATGCCCTCAGGGCTCCATACATGCAATGAGCAATGCAGTGTAGTTGCTTGAACATGAAACACCTACACTTGACATGAATTCCAATCTAGTCTTGGCATTGCTCCGCAAACACCCACACCCCATGTAAATAGAGCTCGGTGTAGATACTCTTATTTCTCCTTCCATAGCCAATTTATCTTACATTCTCAAGGCTGCCTATCCACCATTTTCATATCTCGTTATGTACCAACATATTTTTACTTCGAATATCTACTTGAATATTTTTTACCGCGCTAAGATAGATTTTAAATAGATATTTCAACTGTAACTTTTCATTTTGTTGGTGACAGGGACAACTTGGCACACAACGTGAACATTCTCATCTTGTCTACTGCAACTCTCGCAGAGGTAAGTTAGAGATGATTTTCAGTTCCTGCCTTCTTCACATATGCGATTGATTGAGAACCTCCGAGGATTATTGCTATTGTATTAGCTCTGTAAATGTAGCAGGGAAGGTTATTGTACTCAATTTACAAGTACTCTTGGTCTTCATACAGATACCTTCGTGCCGTATATTGTTCTAGACTGAGAAAACGTAAACAGTAGACTATAAAAGTTTCAAAGCTTGGGTGCTAAATGTTCGTGGCTATTTAGTCTTGAGCCGTTGACTTTTTTAAGAAACTTCATGTCATGTTGACCTACAGGACAAGTATATCTATGACTCTGCAAGTGATTTACAACTTATGATCCCTTTTTTTAATTCATAGTGTATTCAGCTGTCTAGCTGTGACATATTTATAATTAACTTATGACCCCTTCAGTCTCAATCCAGCGGTAAAATTACGGCAGGTCATAAGTGATGTTCGCGCATACAGGAGCACTTGCCCCATTATAAGCCCCTCCAAGCTAACATGCGAAGACTAGAAATCTGATAGCTGCGGCTGACAACTTCTTCGAGCAAAAGTTTGAGATAAAGCTGGCGCTGCCCGAAGTGCTTCGCTACGGTGCAACATATTCCCATTTCACTGTTCTAGTCTTCGATTCTCGGGAAAAAAAGCCGGGTGATATGATAGCAATGAGTCCATTAGATTTATATACCTGTCTCACGTCTCCTTGACGTAAGGGTTTAGATCCGTAAGCAATTCTGTTCAAATCATGTCATGGTACGTCACATCTGTTCACTAACGTTGTGGCCGGAATTTGTTGTGGGGAAAGTCAGGGTTAAAGCCTCTCGTGTATGATATGTAAATCGTTCTTTATTATATCATCTTGCTCGTGAGGTGGTTGATACTCATTTTGCCTTGGTCTAAAAACATCGCCAGCGATTCGACATATCATGTAGTCGCTACAGTCATTCAGGAACCCTGCACTCCACGCGTAGATCATATCGAATCCTGTCCAAGCGCATGAGCCACGGTGTATAGTCACACGGACGATCTACAATGGTAAGCGATATTCTTTCAGAGACGCCCCACTATCGAACGCCCTAAATTTGATCGCTCTTATCTTTGACTTAGTTCGATCCAGAGCAAAGTCACGACAAATGGGATTGCCTAGAGCGTTAGGCACGGAGGGTATTTACAAGAATTACATCTTTCGACAATCATATCAAGTGCTACAGTAACTGTATCCACAAGAAGAAACCAAATTATACTTTCACCATAGAATATTGTGTCCGACGTTGTAACCTCGCTCCTGAGACACTCATCCTGCCTCTTAAGAACCAAAGCAATACACTGTTCACTACAAGGAGAGCATCCGACATTCAAATAAAATCAAACATACTACCAATGTTAAAATATTTGTTACAGCACCATACCACATCACCTCGACAACGAATTTTTGTCCCATTGATTATCTTGGTCTTGGCGACTTTCTATTTTCTAACCAGCCATCCGAGGTTCAAATTATCCTACTCACCTCATATTCCTCTCACATCTCAGCCTCAAACTAACAATGAAAATACACATTGGTCAAAGCTCCCGGAAAGGTATCCAGTCACATCTCTTATCCCACTTCCAACTGGAACTCCTCAAGATATTCCGTCCGTCCAAGCTCCATCACCAGAGGAGACAGAGTCTCAACGAGAAGAACGCTATCGTCGCAAGAAAGCTGTGATGCAGAGTTTCTCTCATAGTTGGGATGGTTACAAAAAACATGCTTGGCTTCGAGATGAAGTTACGCCTTTGTCCGGGAAATATAAAGATACCTTTTGCGGTTGGGCCGCTACCCTTGTAGACTCTCTTGACACTTTGTGGCTTATGGGTATGAAAGAGGACTTCGAAATTGCGGTTAAGGCCGCGTTATCAATTGACTTCACCCTCATGCAAGAGACCGATCCAAATATCAATGTCTTTGAAACTACGATTCGTTACATGGGTGGATTTCTTGCAGCGTATGATATTAGCGAAGGAAAGTACCAAGGGCTCCTATTCAAAGCAGTTGAGGTTGGAGACCTTTTGATGAGTGCATTTGACACTCCGAACCGCATGCCTGTTAGCAGATGGCCATGGAAGGAGTGAGTTACAGTTCTTCGATCAGGGCAACCGCTAATTGACTAAGTTACTTAGCAGGAAAAGCTCAAAAAGCCCAGGAAAACCTGATTGTCTCTGAACTTGGCTCTCTCAGCTTAGAATTCACACGTCTCTCCCAACTAACAGGTGACGCAAAGTACTATGATGCTGTTCAAAGAATTTCCGACGTCTTGGAAGCATCCCAAAATAGTACCCAACTTCCCGGAATGTGGCCAGTAAACGTCAACGCTGCTCAACTCTCTTTTGATTCAGGAAACTTTTTTTCTTTGGGCGGCATGTCTGACTCGCTGTATGAGTACTTACCAAAGCAGTATATTCTTTTGGGTGGCTTAATCAGTCAGCCCAAAAAGCTATATGAAAATTTCATTGAGGTAGCGAAAGAATACTTATTCGTCCGCATATTTAACGAGCACAACGCCAATTTATCAATCTCAGGCGATGTGCGCGTCTCACAGGCTAGCCTAACTATGGATGCTCGCAACCAGCATCTTACTTGTTTTGTTGGTGGTATGGTTGGACTTGCAGCCAAAGTTTTATCCCGACCTTCTGACCTTATTGTTGCCGAAGAACTCACTCAAGGATGTATTTGGGCATATGATGTTAGTCCCAATGGCGTTGCTCCAGAGATATTTTCTCTTAGTCCTTGTCTCCACAACTATTCCTGCGATTGGGACGATACAGTTTATGAAGAAGCTATAAATAAATATTATGGTACTGGAGGGGCAGAATCCGCCAAGGAAAGGAAAGATCAAGCATTAAAAACAATACACGATTTGAGATTGCCTAGAGGCTTCATTGCTACTCTCGATCACAGATACGTCCTTCGTCCTGAAGCTATCGAATCTGTCTTCATACTTTATCGCATTACTGGTAAAACACTTTATGCCGATGCAGCCTGGCGTATGTTTCAAGCTATAGAGAAGATCTCTCAGACCCCAATCGCAGCTGCCGCTCTGCACAATGTTATGGTAGATCCAGACACGATTGACGATGAAAAAATAGATAGCATGGAGAGCTTTTGGTTGGCGGAAACGCTGAAGTACTTTTATCTCTGCTTTGAAGACTGGAATGTGCTCAGCTTGGACGAGTGGGTCTTCAATACCGAAGCACATCCATTTCAGCGGCCCAAAAACAGAAATTCCATGCAAAATGTTGCCAAACCTGATGCTATAACGATCCGAAAAAATTTTGGAATGATAGAGAAGAAGTCTGAAAATTATGAGCTCCAATTATCGTAGGAATTGCAGGGTTTGTTACTTTGTTTCAGTGGTGTTATCTAAAAATTACAGTAGTACCAAAAAAAGGTGTTTTTGTCAATTCGGTACTGGCGAGCTTTCATATTTAGAAGACGGTCGTAATATTAATTAGCCAAATATTTACAAATGAATAAGTAAACATTGGATTTCTCCCTTGGACCCTTACTCTCGGCAATTATTTTATGTTTCTCGAGCACTGTATTTGACTCTTGGAATTATTCTAGAGTGTCGTCTTTTATTTTTCGTTGGTAGTATCATCTCGTCGCGAGGTACTTATTTCAAGTTGTTGTATTGTGAAGAGACTTGCGCAATTTCGCACTAGTTGTTTGGGACATAATCAAGTACGCCGCTTTTTCTCTAGGCGGCGCAACTGGCGTCGCTCGAGCCTAGGAAGATTGTTCGCAAATCGGCGATGTAAATAATTTGGTAGATTGAGGCCAGCGAAATAGCTGTCGCCAAGTGCTTCATCTATCTGGCGGGCGATATTTGCGAGGCGGCCGGCAACAAGGGGTTGAGCGTGCTGGTTGTAGAGCCGCGTGGAGGTACGGGGTCCAAAGTAGGTCATAAGGCGATGAATGAGGGCCCGGCTAATGACGTAACCGTCGATATATGCACCGAGATCATGTAGCTGCTTTAAGAGGCACAGACCATAGGTCAAGTTGGGCAGATTGGAGGTGTGGCGAGCATATTTAAGGGGGTGGATAAAGCCCCATGCTATGACAGCCCGCTGAAAGTTATTATCAATAAGTTGCCGGACCGGATGACGCGGGTGCTGTGTCGATAGATTAACCGAGCGTGGAAATTTCGTTCCTCGTTGACTAGTATCGTTGCTGTACCAGCTAACAAGGCTTAAAGTGAGATTCTGTAGGTGCTCAAGTCGGCCCAACATTCCAAGCCTCCGGATAATTTCCCGCCAGTAATAACTAGGAACATGACTTCCCGTGCGCATAATACTGTTAAGTACACGAATGCTTAAATTGACATCTTCATAGCTGCTGGAAGGTCCCTTGGAGCGACGTCTAGGTTGCAAGATTGCGGCAAGAATATGAGAGATTGTATCAAGCTTGATTGGTGTTCCCTCTATCTGCATTTTTGCAAGATTTCGTAGAGCCATGGAGATGTTTTTATTCATTAACATAACCTTTACGATTAAATTTTTTCGAGAGATTTCTAGTGAGCGGCTAGCGAGAGACTGGATTTCGAGGGTCCTTCCAAACTCGGACCACTTGCAAGCTCTAGCAAAGCCTGCAAGAAGCTCATGTTGGAGTTTAGTATTTTCTAGCTGATCTGGGTGTTGATCACTGGTAAGTAGACCCTGAAGAAACTCATGGTTCTTAGTGCGTGCAAAATGTTCAACAGCTTTTGAAAATAGAGATGTTCCGATTGATATTTCTAGACCACGAAGCTGTTGGATTCTGTGTATAATTGCATTTGCATTTTGCTCGCGCAGAGAGATCGCTTGTAATGAAAGAGGTCCAATCTCTTGGATACCTAGCGCGTGAACCGTGCTGATAGCGGTATCTATAGAGACCCAAGTTGTCGCGAACCACCGGGCACCCAGTTCATCATTATACTTTTTAACTGGGATACCAAAGGTCTTTCCATGAATTAGATTCATCGTTTCTCCCGACAGTTTTAACTCCCCCTCTGCTGTGTGGGAAGCATCAGTATTTCCTAAAATTCTACTTTCTACCAAGCTCTGCAGGACTTCAATACCTTTTGGCTTATCATTCAACATCAGATATTTTACCAAGGGCTCTACCATCCGAAACTTAGATGGTAAATCTCGGTGTTTCAATAAGAAGAGGTGCCAGCTCAACGCCTCTTTATACTGTCCCCTCCTGTAGTAAAGAGGGATGATGCTAGAGTAAATGTTTCGGTACGGAGTCCTTGTGTAGTATTTCTTCAAGACTGACATCTCGCATCCTTGATGCACTAGTTCCCGAAATAGGGCACGAAAGCGAGCAGCTCCTGGAGGGTGATTTGGAAAGAGTTTCCTATGCCATTCAAGGGCATTTTTCGAGTCACCCTGGACAAAAAAATGTTCAATGATACGGTCATAGAGCAATAACCATCGTTTTCCACTTTGATGGAGTAATCTGTCAGCATATTTGAGAATCTGCACAAGATTCTCATGGTTTTTAAGCCCTAGAGAGAGGAGTGTTGTCCAAATTCTGTCTGCGAGTCTACCATAAGTTGGAAGGCGTAAATCTGATAAAAGGATAGCATTCCAGAACATCTTGACGCCATTATAACCGTGTACATTGTACCTGTAATCTAATAGGTACCCCCAGAGCCTGATATCTTTGCAATTTTGACTGGTGTGCAGTAGTTTCCCGGGACGATCGTCATCTAAATTGGATTCAAACTCAAGGCGATCATGTCCCCAAAGTATGAGATCCCATTGGCCGTATAGCAACGAAACCTGTCCCGAGACTGCCTGATGAGAAATATATTCTGCTTTTGTGAGATCTGGATTCCCCACAAAGCTGCTCTTAGGACCAGCACGCCTCTCATAAAATTTTGCTTCCCTCGGATAATCTTTCATACGATTTTGCTGCGACCGCTGATTAGATGAAACGCTACTGATCGTTGAAGACGCCGGTGCGACTCGTTGTACCCTTGAAGTGGATCCGGTCAGTTCTTTAGTAGGAAAAAGCTTAGTAGACAGCTTTGAATGTGATAGTCGTGGCATCCGCTGTGATAGTCGTGGCCAATGATCGTAGTGGGAGTTGTGATAGGGCCACGACACTGCTATCCTTTTCAATCCCGACGCTACAAAAGCTTTATCTAGTTATCAGTTCATTGCTCTAATTTTGAATGCACGAGGCATGACTAAGCACTTTCGCTCAAACTTCGTTAGGATCATGCAACGTCAACGTGCAACAATCCACATATCTTCAAAGTCTTCAGCATAGCAAAGCATCGCCATGGCTGGGTAAGTGCTTAGAAATAAATCTTAAAACAAACTGTAATTACCAACGTATGCTAACATTTTTTTCATGCAGGTTTGTAAACCGCGAAAATCGTGTCCCTCACTATCAGCGCTTATTTTTTGATGCCAACAAGAAACACATTCGTCTCTGGGAAACTGTACGTCTGACCCTATCCGATTATCCAAGGATTTTGAAAAATAAGTTTTGGGATTGAGGCACTGAAAACCAAAATTTTAGTCACATAGAAGCAAGTTTATGCTTTATCCTTACTACACCATCATGTGGGGCACTCTAGCTGGTACGTAAATCCTGATCTCACATTTGACACCACCTATTTACGTTCAAAAATTGACTAACCAACCTAGCATCTATGTACTGCATGTGTAGACTTGTGCTGGGGCACAAGACTTGGTTTGGAACCAAATGAGTTCGTTTACAGATGAAGATGACATGGAATCTCCATAAGGCGGTGTAGGAAACATTTGAGAACAAAAGTATTTGATGTAATTTTATTATACACAAAAAACTCGACGATATGAACAATAATGATTATTGCACTTTTGATACTAGATAATATCAAGTTAGGACCTCATAAAACAATCAGGCATGGATTTAGAGTTGTAAAATACTCGTCGAACGAATTATGAGAAACTAGCAGTGTCCTGTCTCAGCATAGCCGCGACGTCGTCATCCAATCCATCCATAACATCTCCTCCGAGGTCAGGAAAGTCTTCGTTTGATTCCATTTTCCTTTTCTTTGCGCTCCCGATCGCTGGTGCCAATCCATATGAATTAGAAGTAGATAGACTAGAAAGGAGGTCAGATCCGATAGCTGGTGGTGTCAAGGACAAATTGGCGTAGTCTTCAGTTGGGAAGACTTGATCAGGCTTAAAATCTGCGATCAGCGGGTCGGTCGCATGTGGGAAAGTCGGTGGTGATAATGGTTCAATCTCAGGACGATCTGGTTCCGATGCAGTTGTCACAGGTAGACTTTGAACAGTCGGAGCTCCATCTGCTGCAGGCGTAGTTGGATTGCTATTTGAGCTAAGTCCGCGCATGATAGCTTCTTCAACTTCCCTCTTCTTATTGTCTATCTCAACTTTCCGACTTGCAATTTCCGCAACCTGAGCCTCCTCAGCAGCTAATGCGGTACGGTTAGTGTCTAGAATCTTTTCTAAACCATGAATTAGTATCTGCCTTGCTTTGATGCTTTCAGCCACGGCTCCCTCAGCATTTGCTAGTGTCTTTAAAAGCCCATTAAGTCTAGCTGCGTGTACTGGTGCTGAAGAGATAGCCGTGTTGGGATCAGTGAGTTTTTCATAATCTTGAGTAGCTGCTTTTGTTGAAGTCATTGTCGAGAGGATCAGCTTTGAAAGTGCTTGTTGGGGAGCAAGTAGAGGAGATAACTCCCTCGGAAAGTCGTTAGCGTTAGGTGAGAATATCGATGAGCCACCACGTTTAGCTGAAGATGATCGGGACTTATCCAGTTCTGGAGAAATTAACTTTAAGTAATAAGGCAGTAAACCGACGAACCATCAATTCGAGACTCAATCGCCTCTTGGATAGGCACCTCAAAAATTTGTCTTTGTCTCCATACTTCAACAACCCTTCGCAATTTATTCTGTACATCACTTGTAGCACCTTTGTACGCCGTTGCAGTAGCTTCAGCTATAACTGGAGAGAAAGCTATCAAAAAATCGTCTTTGCGACGCGCTTTTGATTGTTGCGCAACTTCTAAATATTCCATATTTTAGTACGTATAATTAAGCTGACAGCAAAATATTATTGGCAAAGCAAATTGAAGCTTTGGGCGGGGAAAAATTAAGAGATAGATGTACCATTGGCAAGATAGATGAGGTTTAATCTTTTATTACTCCCGGAATCTTTTAAACGTTGAAGCCACAGTTGACCAGTCCTATCCGCGTGTCTCCTAAAATAAAACGTGAGATGGATTAGAAGATGAGAAAGATTTGGTTGTAGTTCTTACCTGTGGAACATAACCCACTGGGCGACTGTGACCTTCGAACATCTTTAGCCCGCGCACGTTGACAGGAAAGACTACTCACGATACTTTCCTGTGTCTCATTTAAGGCGGAAAGCTTAGCTAGTACAGCATCATCGTTGTAAGCCATGGTGTGAAAATTCAATCAACAACAAAGCTTGATTATATTTTGATATTATTATGATACTTAATGCCGTTCTGGGTGAGGAACTATCAACAGCACTATCACGTCTAGGGGAGGTTCACGAATTAAATTAATGTAGAGATCAAATGCGATAAATAGGAGACTTATACTCTTAACTATTGAAGGTCTTGAGCGTATATATTTATGGCTTGAGATACTTGTGAGATTACACTGCAGGCTAGAGTATCCACTAATTTGAATTCGATTGATCACGTGGTTAGAAGCAAAATTTCTACGGAGTCACTGAGGACTAGAAATATTAATCGAACACTTAAAACAACGTTAAAAAACTAGACAACCAAAATTTCGTTGAAAAACTTAATTTCAGACAGCTCTATCGTTTAGTCTGCCCGAAATAATAATGTGGTGCTGCAAAATCCTGCTTTGTTTCCTACCAGGATTACATTCAAACCCTCGATATAAGCTTTTATCATGCAAAAAGGGTGTTTTTTTAACCGTTGAATGTGTCTGCAGATAACTAGCTATGACACATGACCGGTGCTATGTATAAATGTACGATGAATCTTTTGACGTAAAAGACACTCATACTCTGGATTTCATTCGCAAATACCACTATGAGGTATGCTTGCTTACACGAACAGTCGACCCTCCTCCGTAAGTACCCACCAAAGGGAAATTCGTAACCGTTGGTTACCCAAGCATGCCTTCGTCATCCATGCATTCCAGCGCCGCGAGAAATGTGGTTGTGTTTTGCCGGATTCGAACCAGCGATCTACTGTCTCGAGTGGGATATGTGTCCAAGCTATCCAGACTCTACTTGGCAGACAGGCCAAGACAATGTGCCACCGCACCATCCAACTCTGGCAGTGTTTCAAGTGCCGCCTGCACTCTTGAAGAAAGAGTAAAGGAGTTAGAATGCGAAGCAATAGGCCCTTTGTTAGGCAAAGTTTATCTTTAAAACACCGACACCAGAAGTCACCACAAACTTTTAGCTCTAGGTCGTTAACCTGGTGCTTGGTTCCTCAATCAAATAATAGCGTTGGCTCCTTCAGAGATGTCTCCAAATGATTCAGCAACGTTGCTCTAGAGTGGTAGTGGTAGATCCACTATGTATTTTCTCAGTCTGGCAGAATTGAAACTTGCTGCATCTAAGGACACGATTTGATTACCGAGAATAAAGCTGATGGCAAGGCTACTAGACGTGAAAGTTTACAATAAGTTAGATTTTTGACCTTGTTGCTGGGTTTCAGTGTCGAGAAACGGTTCTTGTGCGCCGGGTATCATAAAAGCACTAGAATATTATGTCGTTATAATTCGAAGGTTTTAGCAGCTTAGGATTTACTCACTACTTTCAAAATCTATGCAACATAAACTGTTCCCTGCACAATTCGAGTAAATCCAACATGCTAGGTCTCTACACACCAGTTATGCCGACTGTCATTAGTGCTCATTCAAAAAGAATATTATTATGCACTGCTATTATTGGTGTTATGAAGGCCCACAGCCTATCTACGATAATATCTCAAAGTAAAGAGACGAGCAAGACTTTAGATTCTGTCTGAGAATAAAAACTTCTATCCCCACTCGCTATACACAAGGGTGGCTTGAATCTTTAGTTGGGGTAGATTAAAGTTTTCGTTTCTATAGACCTAACCATGTAAAGCAGCTTTAGCATTTTATGGCACAATATTTTTACTGCTACAATTGTTTTCGCGCAAATATAATTCCATTTGGTTTCGGAAAATCACATTTAGGTAAACGCTGCAATAGTTCCACGAAAGTTCTGATATCTTCATTTTTATCCAAACTATTTTATTCTAATCAAGTAATCCCACGGCGCTGAATCAAATTGCCATGTCACGGTACAGCGAATGTGTCCGCTGGTGTGTAGATCTTTATGGGTTTTGATGCATCGCGGTCAACGACCAATATGGCCACAGACAAAGGATGAGAAACGGCAGCAGTTATATTCGGAGGAGGTGATAAGCTCTCTTCGGATGAAGAATGGCTCAATGTAAAAATCACTTGGAAATATTTGACAGCAGTGAGGAGCAGCCTAAGAAAACCGGATACATCAAGAAAAAACAAAACCGATGAGGGAAGTGGAGGACGTCTTAAAGAGACCTATGAAATATATCGGAATGGTCAAAGACCTTATAAATATAAAATTTATTGAGAAATGGATGGTGTCTTTGGAAAGAGACATTTAAAGGAATCTAAAGGGGTCTCCACATAAGACTAGTTCTGTAGTAACGCCTGTCCCAGCAAGACTACCATCTCACGCCTTCATCATAACACCAACAATTTCGAAAGTATCTCCGAAGATACGGTTAGACGATGTCAATTAGTAGCACTAGAACAGCTGCTAAGTAAGGCACAAGACTATATACCAGTGGCTTAAGCTGTAAGTCAAGTGGGGGCAATAAAACTGAAGTTTGTGCTCAACCAGTGGCTCAATCGGATGAGGCTTTGCACGTGGTTCAGCTAGAAACATCCAAGGTTCCAAGTTAGGATTATATAATGGAGGATATCGGAGTACCTCTAAGGATGAAAATATGAAGAGTTTAAGACACAAAAAATCAAGGTCTTATCGACGAAAATATTGTGATCATTAGTGTGGCGGCTCTTGGCTCCCAAATAAAAAGAATCTGATGATTTCACATAAGGATAGAAAACCGCTGGGTCAAGAAGATTGGCCATACGGGATGGTCTGTTATTTCTAGTCTGCCGACGGAGACCCTTCAGAGATGAGTGGTGAGGGGCAGAATTGTCATGAAGGTAATACAATCAACGGCACAGCTCTGGTAACTTAAAGTCCAAAGCGAGCAGTGCTACAACTGCAATTAATGGAGTTACACCTAGGCTTCGTGCGGGAAGGCAGCGAGGTGTAGCCAGCCCGCGGGCAACCACCAAACTCGGGATTGTAAAAGACAGGATAAATTTTGTTGTAATTGCGAGAGAGCGCAATAATTGTGGTAAAAAATAGCTTGTAGGATCAACACGGCTTGTAGGGGAGGCGTATAATCAGCTCATATCGAGCTTCTAGGAGGGGGACTATTCTCAACACCTGTCAGTGGTGTCCCCTACGAACCTCCAGCTCTCAATGTAGAGACTACAGAGCCGAGATTGAGTAACAAAGTCCTCACTTCGACAAGGATTCCCAATCGCTTTCGCGGTCTGTATCGTCTTCATCTCTCAACACATTCCCCTATCACCACTATCATGAAGCTAACCACGATCAGATCAGATGGTAGGGTCGGAGCCCTACTCATCACCAACCCTTGATCATGGAGGAAAAGTCATCGGATGAGTTTCCGGAGCGTACCCAGCACCCGATACGGAGATGGTAGATTGGATCAAGTCGACCTCGACTGTTACAAAGAAGGGAGATATAGATGAATATGCGCACCTCATGTGGTCCCGGTGTCTAGGCGTCGCCTGGCTAGGGCTTCAAGTTTTTTGAGACTTTTCCCCGCGCACGCAGTTTCCATTGCTACCATTTTGTTTTTTTTGGGTAGAAGGTTCTGTGGAAAAGGTGGCCGAATTCCACGGGTAAACACTGAGCTGAATAGCTAATCATCACGGGTAAGATAATAATGATCTTTCAAGTAACAAAAGAGGGTAGAAGCACTGTATAAGGTGTGGCCTGGGTCAGAAAGGAGCCCAATGTGCTAGATATTCTATGACTCAAGTTGTCATGGCTAGACATTCTTGAACCAGAGTCTAAGCAGAATGCCTGAGGATAAAGTTCACGAAACAGGGTTTTCGGCTTACCCTCAACACTTGCACTTATATGGTGAGACTAGATAATGCGCCAACTGGAATTGATATGGTTGAGGTCACAGTTTTAGTTATGATGGGAAATTATAACAGTCTTAGTTGAATTATGCTAGATAGTTATTTGTACTTAAGGAAGCTGGAGTTACAACAAAGTAGTTCTCCAGCTTCATAATCTTATAATATAATTACAGTATTCCTCTCGCAAATCCGTTTCCTTCTAGCCATAGTACTTCGTCGACTTTCCATCTCTATAGTATTCACCACTTGACTTTTCCATACCCTCAGCGAACGGCGATCTCGATCTACCCTACAGCACGCCGTAACACAAGTAGTACAATAAGCATCACTCACTTTCACTCACTCTCGAGCCTCTAGGAATGACAGTGGATGTAAATCATCACATTTTAGTCTGTATGACCTAGAGATCTACCTGTGAACCGAAAGCGATGAATGAAAAAGGGTCTACGATGATCATCAAAAAGAATCCAGGAGCGCATAGAAAGTAGTTTCAGGCGCGACAGAAATCGAAGCACCTACAATATTAAGTTGGAAGTTAAATCTATTTCAGATTGCGTTATTCTGAGACTATTTGTCTCTCACTGAGGAGTTGCCTGGGTCAAATATCCAATACTATCAAGGAAATAATAAATCCTCAGTCATTAAGGTTGTAGAGCGCATTGATTCAAGTAATTACCAAAGAGAAACTAAACACAGAATTTGTAGTCACGTGTGTATCAACAACATGGCCAACTTGATAGCCTCAATAATTCTAACTTCTAACCAAAAAGAGACGAAATACTCGCAGCAATTGGAGCGGTTGGTCGTGAAGCAGGGCTTCAAGCCTTCACTCAATGGCATTCCGCAGCACCGCCCCTGGAGCTCTTCGTTTTCTCAGACGGAGCTCTGATGGAAGGCTCAGCAGGGGCAGGTTACTGCATTTATCGCAGCGCAAAATATGTGATTGATCAAGGCTCTGTTCCTCTAGGTCAATCAGCAGAAGTATATGATGCAGAAGTCGTCGAGGCTATGGAAGGCCTCGCAGCTATAATTAGAAACCCGATGGAATACTACGCCACCAACATCACTGTCTGTCTCGACAACCAAGAGGCAGCGTCTCGTTTACTCCTTGAACCGCCGACCCCATCCAGCTCGACTCGGATCGCAAAATTTCGGGATCTCGCAAGATCCTGGCCTTCAAGGAACCG